CCTTTGGATTACACGGCTCTCGATCTCGGCACTGTCCTTTGACCAACGGCTCAAGTCTGTCCCACATCGTCAGGTGAAAATTCTGGTTTTGATTCTTGCTCTCCCTCGGATTCTGTCTTCACCTCACGGACCAATTAACCCAGCAGCGCACAACAGCGACGACGTCACTCAGTTTCGGACTGTCAACAGCGCTTCTGTATGGAACACTCTTACGAACACCAGGTCAGTGGTTTTATTCTTCTCATTCGAATTAAACCCTGACCTTGATAACAGTTGTTCTCTGTGTCCAGAGCTACCAGTCCCTCCAGACGTCCAGATCCAGAACCTCACCACTACCTTGTACTTTCAAAATAAAACCTGTAAAACTGTTTTTGAGTTTGGTATTTTATCAGAGTTCAAAAACCCAGTCTTATCATTATTCTATAATCTTGGTACAAAGGACCCAAGGCATGATAACAGAGTGCAGCAGAGCTAGGATAGTGTTGCTGGCTGGTGAAAGTGTAAATTTCCTTTAGCATGTAGATAATTGTTTAATAGAAAAATATGTAAAATTACCCAAGCCATTTTATTTGCTAGAGAAGTATTTGTTGTGACAAAATCCAACATACATTAACAAACTATGGCAGCTCTTCAGGTAAACTTTCTCTTGAATGAACATCTCTCATCTGTCCAACACTGGGACCTGGAAATACTTTTTACCACGTCAGTTTTCTAAAGTTGTCCCTATCTTTAGATTTCAAGTGAACCCTTTCACCCATAAGTTAATGTCTCGTTAATTACCTAATTCACATAATTAAAATATTCTGCTTAACTTCAACAAACCATCAGTTGTCTCCATGTTTTTAATCAAAAAGAATTGTGATCATTTTCTATTTAAACTCATTTACTCAGGTTTTCCTCATACGTACAAACACATCTGATTTGTGCTGAGTTTTGTTTTATTTTGTCTTTTCTCTCTGTTTTAGATGCAGGAACTTGAGCAGAGGGTGACGGAGGCTGATCAGAGAGCTGAGAAAGCTGAGAAACAGGTAGAGGGAAAACATTTTTTTTAATTTGAACCATAAATCTTAAGGGGGACACGTAATTAAACAATATTTTTCATGTCTGAATGCAAATATTTATGTCTAAAACTGTTTTCAGCTAAAGATGCTCTTCATAAAATTCACTTGCATTTATTTTGGCTCTGTAGACTTGTCACATTTTAGCACAAATATAAAAAACACTTAATTTTTTCAGTGTTCCCACTGAGAATAGTCAAGAAACACAACCACAATATACTCAAATAGCAATAATGGATATAATATTCTTATTAAAAAAACAGTAAGTTGGTCTTGTTTTATTATTATTGTTGTCAAACTAAACAGTCACATATAAACAGGAATTTCCAACTTGTAAGAAGAATGTGAACTCTATGGCCTACGAGGGGTTTCATATCACTGGTTAAAGAGTTATCTGAGTAATAGACTACAATACGTACAAATTAACAACACAAAGTCACAGACCGAAATGGTTAAATGTGGTCTTCCTCAAGGCTCAGTTCTAGGACCTAAATTATTTATACTTTACTTAAATGATATTTTTGCAGTATCCAATCTTTTAATGTTTGCTGATGATACAAATCTATTTTTCTCTGGAAAAAATATGGATGAAATAATAAAAACAGTAGAAAAAGAGCTAGCTGAGTTGAAAACATAGTTTGACTATAACAAGTTGTCATTAAATGAAGGAAAAACTAAATTTATGGTATTCTATGGTAATCGGGTCCATAATAATGTAAAGTTATGTATAAATGGAGTTGAAATTGAAAGAGTTTATGAGACAAAATTTTTAGGAATTGTTATAGACAATAAACTCAGCTGGAAGCCTCATATAGAATATGTTAGAAATAAAGTTGCAAAAACTATTGGAATATTGTTTAAAATTAAAGATTTAATAAATATTAAGGGTTTGCAT